CCCCCCCCCCCCCCCAGCTCCCTGAATGTCCTCACACGTCAGAAGATGCCGGCGGACACCTTCAGCACCCAGGACTGGACCGGGACAGCCCGAGGGCATCGGCCGCTTGCCTGGCACCTTTGGGAGGACTGCGTCACTAGAGAGTGCAATGCGTCGGTGTCTTTTTTTGGCCGCCGTTGCACCCGCCCAAGATATTTCCTAAACCCTCCGCTTCCTATAAGCAAAACAAGGAATAACATCACGATACCTTTTTAAAAGCTGAGGAGTGAAACTGCAACTTGTAAAGGCCGGGGTCATGAACTTTATTTCCTAAATGCTCAGGAGTGGGGGGAGAAAAAACAACAACAAAAAACTCTCTGATGGCAGCTGGCTACGGAAGATGAGTGACTGCTGCTTTTCGAGCAAAACCCGGTGACATTACCTGGAGGCACTAGGTCATTTGTGGTGGCGCTCATTCCGCGTTGTTCCTCAATTTTGTTCCCATTGCCTCAACGGCTGAAGCATCCTCGGCTGCGCGGAGCAGTCCAGCCGTGTCCCGGTAAACACCCGCGCTTTGAAAAATAGTTCTATTGGAACCTGCCAGATGGTCCTGAGAAAAGGAACTGCGATGGCTCCAGAACCGGGCCAGCGACTCTTCCTGAAGGACCGGACTCCCACCCCGCCTGGGAAAGTTGGGCAACCAGAACTTGCCACACCTCTGGGCGGTAGAGCAAGGACAGGTCTCTGCCGCCGCCGCCCGACGCAGGAAACGCGTGTCGGAGCACCTGGCGCCAGGGCTACTGAGCCAAGGTCCCTCCTGGTTTAAAAGGAAGCTCGTCCGCCGGCTTCGCCACCCTTGTTCATTTTTCCCGTGCGCCGCGCCACGCTCCCTGACTCCTTTCCTCTACCTCCCCCAAGTCTGATTCCTCAGAAAAACCACAGCTCATTCAGTCAACAGTTAGTAAACACGGATCACCGGGTGGAAGCTGACAGCGGATCCTTCCAGCGATTGGTCTCCCAACCGAGGTCACAGTCTGGAGCTCACCCCGAGAGCCTAACTGTAGCGCTGCTGTCACTCCCTGCTCTCTCCCAAGGAGAGGCCGTCAGCATTGTCCTTCTGCCCCCTCACAGGGACCAGGCATGGTGTTAGGGCCAAACACACTGGAATGGGAAGATCTCATCTCTGCCTTCTCAGGGAGAATCACGCAAAAAGGCCAGGACGACACAGTGCAAGGATCACAGGCAGGGTTGGCGGAGGCTTACGATGGGCAGAGAAAAGGTGGTCTGTCCCGCGGCTCAGGAGAGACACTTAGCTGATTCCGGGGGGAACGTGGTCTACAGGTTACCTACAAAAATGTAATACAACTTTTCACATGTGATTTGATTTTAAAAACCACAAACAAACACGCAGAGAGATAACACTTCAAGGACCTGCTGTCAGAAGTGAATCTGCATGGACTCTGTAAAGCCAGAACAGCTGCAACAGACTTCATAATCTAAGGTGCCACTCAGCAATGCTAATATATTGCTTAAGTATTTAATATTAAAAGAGTCATGGTTGAATCTAACTTAATTTACACCCAAATCATTCTGCATTGAGTGCTTCTCCACAAACTCCCCAACTACTCTTTGGAAAAGTTGCAGGCTTTCAATGATAGCCAGCAATTTCTTTACTATTTCTTCTTTTGTTAGTCGTATTAGCATCTTCACAAAGAACTCAAGATGCTACAAGTTGTCACAAGCCTTTGCTCATGATTTCATTTTAGCTTAGATAAATTTTAGCATTGAGATAAATGAATATCTAAGCTAAAATGATGAGAAATAAAGGTATCTCTCTCAGCCCCCCCCAAAAAGAGAGAGAGAGAGAGAGAGAGAGAACACATTTGAATGAGAATGGGCTACCGTATGCTCCAACTAAATCACTAAGGAAGAGGTTTTATAGATAATAGTGATGGAAAAGATCAATTTCAACATGCCTAGTGGGTATAAAAAGCTATTGAAGTGTACTATCTGCTTACTTCCTGCTCACATACAAAAGAACATTTCATCTCCTGCAAAACCAGACACTCTCTCTTGTTATCAGCTATAAACATTCTCTTGGGGATTCTTTCTAGTCCCTATTCAGAGGCACACTGTTGGTAAAACCAACAGCTTTAATGTCCAAGACTGAAAAATAGTGTGGGAGCATCAGGGTGGGAGACGGGAGAAAACCCAGGCCCTCATCTTCCTACAGTCAACCAAGGGTGGAGCAGGCTCAGCTTGCAGTTGCTGGGGCTTAATCAGGAATCTCAACCCCACATGGGCTTCAGACCAAATTAAAAACATACTCTGTGGCTACACATTGCATAACATAAATATGTATGGTTGGCCACAAGAACCAAATGATCTTATAAAATCCTGCCTTGTTATGTGAAAAAACACCTCACAGTACATATCACCTTGACAGTTCAGGCTCCTTGGTCTGAGAAGCACTAACTCACAAACCTCAGGTATCTAGTTCTGCTGATGGAGTTCCTTAGGGGCCATCTCCTTTCTGCCCCACAAGCCCCACTCTGTTCCCGACTACCTGCTCCTCACACCGTTTAGTGCTGCTGCTACTTATCTCATTTTGATTTATTCAGGGTTTCAGCTCCTTTCTGAGGCTGTGTGTCCCAGTGCTGATTAGCCCTAGTTAGCCCTGCATCTCCTGATACTCCCCAGGGGCTGTGACATAATACTTCTGTTCCTGAAACCTAAGCTCAAAGGGGCCTTTTCTGTGGGCTACTTCATATATTGCACTCTTAGGAGAACTTATTCTGGGTTAACACCTCTGAGGCTTTTTCACAAGGGTTGTGACCTAGCTATGCTTGGACAGCCCTAGCTTGACAACTCAAATTGCAGACCCTTATACACACTCTTATTAAATTTCTTGTTTGATTTGGTCCACCTTGCTGGCCTATTGAAATCTTTCTGCTCTCCAATTCTGCCATTCAGTGCATTTCCTGTATCTCCTGTTTCAAATTATCCACAAACAGGATAAGTGTGACTTCTGGATCATCATCAAAATCCTTAACAAGGACAGAGCTGAGTGAATGAATGGATGGATGGGTGGGTAGATGGATTTGAAAAGGTTGAGTAAACCAAAGTACGTGTGTCATTATCTCTAGATGTATGTTCATCAAGGGAGGCTGCATGTTAACTGGTTAATATTTCCCATGTCATTATTTAGTAATAATTGATAGTCTGAGCAAGAGGTAATAAGACAGGTAAGTTTTTTTCAAAGTACTCTAGGAAAGTTTTTAAGAAGTCCAGAATTAGATCATGAGAGAAGATTGGGCAGGAGAAAGGCAAAGCAGAGAAGGGACTAATACCTAAAGGAAAAGTAGTTGACTAAGGAAATCTATATATGGGTCATCTGTTCATTATAATTAACAATTTTGCCAAAGGTTAAGCTTATCTTAACATATAACTGTCAGCTATTGACTTTTTCTCTATTTAAAAACAATTATATCATTTTAATACATTCTTTTAGTTAGAAAACAGATGAAAAGATTAGACAGATAAAAAGATAGGGAGCCCTGACCAGTGTGACTCAGTTGGTTAGGTGTTGTCCAGTGCACTAGGAGGTTGATAGTTCCATTCCAGGTCAACGGCATATGCCTGAGCTTTAGGCTCCATTCCCTGCAAGGGTGTGCAGGAGGCAGCTGATCAATGTTCCACTCTCACGTCAATGTTTCTCTCTCCCTCCCTTTCCCTTTCTGTCTCTCTAAAAAAAAAATCAATAAAAACTATTCTTTAAAAAAAAGAAAAGAAAAGATAAGATAAGGCGATGGTGGAAAGATGAGTCATAACAGAATAATCTGAATTTAATCACTATGATCACCTTGGCATATTTCATGCTAGTCTTTTTCACATTGAGTGCTCTTATTTTTTTCATATTTCTACATAGCCTTCATAATTATTATATTTAACAGCTGCAAAATATTACCCTACTACTGGACATTTTTATTTTATCCTTATAAATAATTCACAAATAAATTTAAGTGATGCTGGAATGTGTTTTAATCAGTAAGTCACACACATGTACACATTCTACCCATTCCTCTCCTTCTTCTGAGCCCCTTTCATCCACACACACGTACACACGTGTACACTCATACACAGACACATCAATATTCTTGCTTCGCTTGAAATTTGCACCAGCTTAGTCAGTGACCTGGCGGAACAATCAAAAGGAAGGGGTTCTTGTCATACTGGTCCAGAAAGTGGTATTTTTATTTGCATACCTGTTACACAATCATATGCCAATCTTGTTGAAAATAGTAGCATAGAAGACAAACTATTGTTCTCAAAGGCCTTATAGTTTATTTGAGATGGTCAGGCTTACATAAAACATTGGGAAACAATTTTGCTGCAACTAAAAGCAAGAACAACATATAGTTGCGAGTAATTAAAATTATTCATTACTAAATTGTGAAATGATCTTGAAGGT